GACTGCAAAAATGCAACTTATAAATTAACATGTTATATTTCTTTGATTCTCGTGAAAGATGGCTTGTGCGATAACATTTTACCACTTAGTTTGATGGAGTTCTTGGGGAATCATAGAACCAAGTTCAATAAAAGCTAAACCAGGTTTAGAAGTTCGCCGTTAGCAGACAGACTGATCCACTGCTGTTGTTAGCGAAACCCGTGTCATCGAGTAAGGACTGAAAAGACAAACAATCGAAATTTTGTCGCTTTAATATGCTTCTACTGACTGAACTATCCACCTTTTTCCACAGATGCTTGCATCTTCACTCATTTTAGTGGTATTCCTATTTCGTAAAAATTATCACTATATTGAGAAGTGTGATTGTGAAAGTTGTTTGATAAAATCGATTGCGTGATAGCAAACCCTACCTTTCCCACTTCAAGTAAACTGTCTGCCAAAACTCTGGTCCACCATCTTGGGCTGCGCCAAGGCATATTATAACATGGTGTAACAAGGACTACAACACAGTATAGGATACTTGTACTTCAACGGCCTAACAGTTCAAGTCAATAAACAAATATAATCATTTATAAATCCTTTTCCAGGCTGTGCGGTACCAATATTGCTCCTGCGGCGGCTTCAGTGCTTCAAATACGTTCTGCCCAATTCCCTGTGGCCGATAGCTTGCTTCCCTTGGGCATCATTTCTATTCCGTTGGCCCGACTGTCTCAGTTGATGGCTTGATTCGAAGCCCCTCACCTGGGCTATCTTGCCGGCTGCCGGAGATTCCGCTTTTTCCCATCCGCTAGTCCGTATGTCTCCTTTTGTCTGCTTAGAAAAGCCTCCGACATGTTCGTCGTCTGTTCTTTTGTCTGTGGCCCTCGGTTGGTTCGTCCGTTCGCCTTGATCTCCACGTCGCTGCCTTGCCCAAGAATTCCCCGTTACTATTGTTGGAGGTAAAACGAACGGGTTTCTCACGACTTTTGTCTCGGACATAGCAGAGTCATGGAGCCTTTTTGTACGCGAGCAACTTCTAGTTAGAATTCATTGCGGAGCAACCTACTTGTACTTATTGGAACTTACATAAATAACGTCGTAATATTCCAGAACATTGGGGCTGTAAAGTACTGTTCACATCATAGGATCGAGTTACAAAAAGGAGCCCAACAAATAGTGACGTATTCGAATTTGAGGGAAGATATACTGGCGTATTCGGAAACCATAAACCAAAATCTTTAAGGAATTTGTTTCCAGATTGAACGAGTCACTAGTGAATTTTTCCTAGGTTCGTCTGTCGAAGCTAGGATTTGTTACGCTGTTTGTGTCCCACAAGTAAATTTTACTCGTACCAAAAACCGTCGAATTCAGTTTACTTCCTGAAACCAAGCTCCCACCTATAACACAAAGGCATAGCCCACGTGGATTTAGCGTGTATCCCTCTGGTCCCCATGTGCATCCTAGTGTTATCTGACTTACCCGTCCCACTCGAAATGCATCAGTTGTGTATTCACCTACTGGTTTCCACGCCAGCGTGATGGACGTCACGATCAATGTAATTTATGTTTGAATCAAAACTCCATGTGAATCTCGGAACACTGGTTTACCTCAATCACACCAACAATCCTGTTTCCCTCACTCAACTCCCAACAACTTGAGTGTTCGTTTCCCTTCGCCCCATCGCCCGACTTTACACAGTGATGGTGGTCGGTCGCAACTTGTCACTTTCTCAAGCCAACATTGAGCCCTAAATTTGACACGTAAATAACCTGAGTGATCGAATATCCCCCAGTTAACAAGTACAATTGAATATCTATACACCATTAGCCAGCAGTCCACAGCGTGATGTGTGTACTCCGTTATCCTTGTCTGATTATTTCTTAGTATACGTTTTTACGTTTCCCAATTTGATAATCCCGCTTTGTTTTTCGAATCATTGAACAAATAGGACGACATCCCGGTATAATCAATTGGACTTTTCTCTGCCAGTATGGATTAAAAACAACCTGGCTACAAGTCAAGTAATATTCATTGGTAAATCCCACTTCATACAAACGGCAAATATCACCTGACTTTGACAATGAGAACGAAGTTGGGTCTTGTGATCTCTGTCACTCACTACCAGTATTCTTCTAGTCATTCGTAATCACATTAAACTAACATTGATTATTCGCCATCACAATAACCCAAATGGCCTTGCAAACGCGAGCTGTTTGTTTCCAAGTTCACATTGGGAAGCAACTCCCCTTTTCTCTTCCATTCGCATTATTGCACATCATAATGGACATTGAAGAAAAAACTGAGTGGTGTTTGAGACTTCTGCCATCTAAATAACTGAGCAAAATTCTATCACCTTTCTGTTTTCCCAGCTCCAATGTGCTCCTCTATTTCAGTACTTACGCACTCTGAATGTCGGATGAATAGAACAATCGGAGGTGTACAAGAAGAGTATTGACACAGTCCTACCGAACCCCTATTTTAATTGCCCACGGCAAGACATTTTATCATGCATATAATATAACCAGTCCAACAGTTCTGAAGGGAATAAATACATTTGGCGTGAGCACATTCTAGAACATGTGTCATGCATCTCCTCACATCAGTGTTATCAAACCAGCTCACTTGTTAATTTTCACCAGTAGCGAATGGTTGTTAAAGCTGCTAGATAGCCGAACAATGACTAAATTTACAAGGAAGTACAGTTCATCACATACAACACTTTATTGTTCTCAGCTGGAGGTGTAAACATAGTTCAGGTTATATGTTCATAGCATTATATACATAAATATGTGCATATTAAAAATTGGTATCTATATATAATCTCGGTAAACTGCCTCTTATGACCTTGGGGCGAGTCATGCTCACTTTGAGAACCAAATCCAACTAACATCAAATAATGCTCGACGGATAATCTTTTCATACCATTTTTCACACTATAAACTGGCTATTCTTGTTTATCATCCAATCAACACCAGATTCGGTTGAAATTTCCTGCCGAGTACGGCTGTCCGAGGACATGTACAGCACTTCTCAACCAACTTAGCCTGGTGATCATTAGTTTACTGTCGAACAATTTGTTTCGTGCGTGTAAAAACTGCTGAAGTGCAGTTTCATTCCTGAAGTGAGTATTATTACAGAGATATCGTTTTTTCAGAGGTCAAAAATGAATTTTTTAAAGTTCCTTCTCCGGTGAATAATCTTCAGAAGCTTGAGGGAGAACTGGCATAACATTTTCTCGGGACCCGATAAAGGAACGGATGTCATGTCAATGTAATAGATGACTAAGGTTAGCAAAATACCAAACGCGCATTCAATATATATCATGACACTTCAACCAGAGTTGCGATACAGATCACATCATTCAATTCATCATTGTCAAAAGCAAATAGGAAAAAACGTGGTGTATTTTTGCAAATTTGGTTCACTTAGGCGAGTTCAAAGTACAATCAGACCACTTTCGGTGGAGCATTGTATTCAGTTTTCCTAAATAATTATTATCAATTCGATTACCGAATGGGGCTTTCATAGATCGGAATTGAGATACATAGTGAATGTTGAGGTTTAAACATTTGTAGAATATATGGCATTGCTGCGCGCAGCTTCCACATTAAACTAGCTGAGTTACCTACAGAAACAAAGTGAATCCAATAGAGGATGTAGTCAAATTCTCTTTGGTACGGAATATAACACAAATAGCCCCATATGGAAACCAAGTATTCAAAGGTGATCGATCGCGGTGTCATCCAGGTAGACCGGGTCAGCTGTTAGACTATCGTCCACGGTAAACGGGCGTAGCACAAATACTGGACTGGGAAAATGGGGAACACGGTCACTTTAGTGTAAATAAACAGCAACTTCTGTGCATAAGATCGTGTAAAATATGAGAACAGACTCAGTTATGGGCGACGAAAGCAACAATGGGTTAAAAACATGGGGAAAGTCAACAATGAGGGCTGAATCTAAACTCACGCTTCCGATGGACTGTATGCCGGCCGCAAATATCCGTTCTCACTTATGTACCATGACTTTGTGGGGTGTATTACAACGTAGATAGACATTTAATTAAAAGGATTATCAGTTACCCAAGATTCCAGACTTGAAGGTCGTAAACCAAAGTTACAAAGAGGTCTGGTGTTTTTCTTGAAACCCTCGTTGATAGTGATGCTCGAAATTCTATGGTTCCACAAATAAATCTAAGAAAAAAAAGAATTAAATATGAACTTTTTACCTCCCATTGCAATTCAACTAAGCCACTAGTGGAACTAGAAATTTCATAAGTGGAACACGGTTTGGCTGAAAAACTGGGTTAAGTTGTATTTATTGTTTAGTTTCCAGTGGGTGAACACGGTACACAAACTTCGAACTGGAGTTAGACTCACATTGTGAGGGTACTTGTCAAAGCTCTAACAGCTTTCCTAATCAAAGTGATTATTAGGCATTTCACGTGATGATACTGTTCTAAGCAAATCCGCTTGCTGTAATCTGATATATTTGCAGTGAATCGTAAAAAGCATCTATCACAATAATACTCTAATTGAAACGGCTGTTGCTTAAAATAGTAATGGGACTCACAGGACAAGGTGCACATGCAATAACCAGACACAGTCATTCATAGTGGAAACTCTCGCGCTTTACTGTTATCCAGTAGGCGAAACGGAATGTAAATTAAAAACACGTGAAAATGCAACAAACCAATAGGCAGTTGAATTCCGTGGATGAAGATCAGCTGAACATTGCTGAGTCTGATTATTCATGAAGTATATAAATGATGGTGTTTTCGAAAGATATAGATCAGGTTAAGTAATCGAATACACCATGAAAACTCTCTTACTTTGGGGAACAATCTTGCTGCTCATATGGCTTTGCGTGGCCGAAGGTGAGTGATTATGAGTCAGTAGAGATGGATGAAGTACGTAGCATTTTAAGTAATAAAACCTGAATCAGAAACGATTATTTTCATCACCGTAAAATAGGATGATGAGTGAGTGTACAGCATAAGATGATGTAGGATTTCTCACAGCTAGCTCACTCAAAACGTACCCCTCAAGCCCCCAGTCTAGTTTCAAATTTTCTCCCAATTTACGATATCCGAACCTTAGCGTCCTTTACTGCTCCGTGCTGAACAAACATCCCGTTCTCCGTTCGTAAACTTACGAACCTACAATTTCCTGCCTCTCCAGATTCCTAGGCAACTAGAACACTCAAGTGCTAAATGGTGTGAGCTGAAACGTTCATTCATTCGTACTTCTAACTGCATCTCACTATTCTCTTATTGGAGTGGATATATAGTGTCCAAATGTGGATCTTCGGGTCTATAAAACAGTTACTGGATTTAGTTTTCATGAGAGTAACAAACCGTAGGAAATAATGTGTTATAGTAAATAAACCAAGGTAATTTGATTGTTCATCAAACTACACACTAACTCCATTAGTTATATCGTCGCTCAGTGAACAAATACTTAAACAGTAGAATTCTCCAGACTGATTTATTACAAAAACTCTTCATTATTATGGAGGAAATGAGTGATTGAAGGAATCAGTTTAAAATGGGGCAAGGCAGAATGGAAGTACTCATCGGTACGAGATACACGCCAAATATCTGTCTACATAGCCGAATAATTTCGGTAAATATTGAGCTACTTTCTGGGTATTTTATTGCTTCGATCATCCTAGTTGTGTAGTGCGTGGTGAACAATTGTTTCTATATGACTGAATGACAGTTTCTTATGGCCACTGATTCGGCTGTGCTCAATATGACACTCAAAACCGGTCTTGGACTTGGGTAGAGAAGTCCGAGTGGCACACAAATTGACATACACTACCTACCCATGCTGAACAAGCTGCGTTATAAGACTCTGATTAGCATTCTGTTTTCTTTTCTTCCGTCAAGCAGGACGGAATTCGTGTATCTTCTTTATCAGCAGCCGACCGGTATGAAAGATGTGGCCAATTTCACTAGAGCACGTAAATAGGAAAATGAACTAGTACACGGATGGTAGTAGCCTCAAAGGACACAACAAACAGCATAATCACTGACATAGCGATGTTACTATACAAATACTCAACCAGGTACTTCTTTGTACGGCTGCAGTGCAATACGTTATGACCAGCGCTTATTACCCTTATCTATTTACACCCAACGTGGACCTGCCAAATAATTTAGAGCATACTGCCAGAAAATGCCCCACTGAATATATCGGAGTTACTGTCATTCGTGGTCTTTCATCGTTGATATTCTCCTACAAGTTGCATGTTTAGAACTACGTGTCACAGAGGAAGTACCTCTGCACACATATTCTCCTAACTAGCATAATTATATCCGCTTCCACCTCACGTCCCTGGTCCTGCTTTTTTCTAGGTAATAATCCAGATCTGCTTTCGAAAGACTTCATAATCATTTCAAGATCCATCAAATACCTTTCTCCATGTGGAAGGATTTCCTTAATTAGCTCACCCCACGTATATTACCCATTAAACCCTACTCTTGACAAACTAGTTGGCATAGCTTGTGTATCCCATGATCAATAAGCTGCCTCATCAGGCTCTGACGAGCACTCTAAACTCTGGTCATTGCCAAGCAAGACGTAATTCGCGAGTCCAATTTATCAGCAGAAGACCGGTATGAAAGATTTGGCAAATTTCACAAGAGTAGGTAAATTGGAAAAAAGGCGAGTACACGGATGGCAGTGGCCTCAAAAGACACAACAAACAGCATGATCATCAACAGAGCTATGCTAGTATACACATACTCAACCAGGTTATTCTTCGTACCACTGCATTACAGTTTATTATGATCGGGCGATGAAACGGACAAACTCGACGAATGGATGGAAAAAATAGAGAATACCGTCAAAAGCTATTATTGGATTTTTTTGAGTTCGAACGTGGCCTCTCTCGCATGCTGTGTGGCAGTGAATTTTTTAATTAGAAAATTGTGAAGACAGCAGAAACATATCGCGAGAATAACTTAAGGGAACAGCAGGAGGGGCCAGAGTTTGATTTTGTGAAAATATTCCAGAAACAACCATTTAGATAATTATAATATTCTCCAAGACTTGGTTGGAGACCTACGTTACCAAAGCCTCAGACACAATTACCATGTAATTTAACACAGCTGCTCACCTGGTTTCTTGAATCCCTTATATTTCCATGACATTCCATTACTGAAGTGACATGATAACATCGAAACGATATTGACGTTCCGCTTTGGCCAAGATCAGCGATGGAGATCCCACAGATCAAGTTTTATTTTCTTAGATCGTAGTCTACTTGAAAGAATATTATCATACGATACCACCACCTTAAGAAAGAGGTGAGAAACCCAAAAAATTTCAGCAGTAACTTTGAATAAATGGTACGCCATGGGGAAAACCTGAGATAATCAGCCAAAAAGAAATAGAAACTAATGACAAAAAGGACAAAAATTAGTGTTAAAAATTGAGGGGAAAAAATAATTCCATGAAACAAGCTTTGTGGAGGAAATCGAGGACAAAACGTCGACGACAAAATGTCAGCCCACCAAATTTTCATTGCAAAATTAGAAAAAAAACGTCGGAAATTTCAACGTTTTATTCGAAAGAAAACTCAAAATAATGTGCCTATTCAGATAGATCTCATACAACGAAGCACACACCGGAAACACGGAGAGAGAACTACCATTCAGTTACAGAAAAAAGGATAAAACAAAATGAATTGCCGGATGAAAACTGCAAAACCAAATTAGGTAAATAAAATGAATGTATAGAAGGAACATGAACTTTTGGATAGAAATGAAGACTCATAGAAGAAAAATATGAAAGAGAAAAAATTAAACCCTTATCACCGCACAATAATGATCTTTCCAATCATATTTCAGGGGATGGAGAAGGTAAATCCACAACAGAAACAACGAGTGAGTAATGATGACACGCGCCTTATATACCGAAAAAAGAAAAACAAGAATTTGTTACCATCTACTTGTACTTAAAGAAAATTACCATCCTCGTTTCCTTGAGCATCCAAATCATTATCATTCCCACCAATCACCACGAACAGACCTCTCAATTACACCCCTGTTTATTCACAGTTCACATTGATCAACAAAAAACAACAATGAGAGTCAACATTCGTTCACTCACATATTCACTTGATCTCTTACGATCAATTGATCACTGATGAAATACATATCCCAATGCATATCTATGCTCACTGTTTTGTGCGGCGTGTGCTGCATGTTTCCGACACGAGCACACAGTTCAGTGTACAAAATTCGTGACAATTGAACATCGAATAATAAAACAGACCGAATACAAACGACTCACTATCGCATCTAATCTATTCTCACCCGTCATATTTCAGGATCATCAACAACTGGGTCTACCACACAAACTACTGGTGAGATATCATAATATGCGTCGTGTGAGATACAGCAAATTCAGATCCAATTGAAATAATCCAAATGCTATCAAATTCTTATCTGATTGTACCATCATCACCACAGTCATATGCATCCAATTAATCAGTTTGCCCAACAGTCCCCTCGAGCAGAATCCGCAATCACACATCTAGTTAATCACAGTTCACAGTGATCAGCATCGATGAGTGTCACTTTGCATTCTTTATTAGTTTCATTCCATGTCGTCCGACTGACTGATCATTGCACAGCTAGTTATCAAAGTCGAAAGATGCTTTCTCTATTTCTAGCAGCCTGTGCGGTATGCTCGTTACACCAATGTGATTTGCTTTATCACACAACAAAATAAGTTATTCAGCACTGAATACTCATGCAAATAAAATGCCCTTAAACCCAGTCTGTATTTCTGTATTTATGATTTTGATGATGCCATTAAGACAAAAATTCTTGGATTGAGAAAATCCGTTTTGTTGATGTGTCAACTCATCTCTATATCCATTATACACAAGGATTTTGTTATTTATCCTAGAAAATGTGCCCGAAGGGTTCAGAAATGCTGATAAACACAATCCTGGAATAGACGCAGGAATTCTAAAGTGGTTTAAAAATCAACGATCTCAGTCGGCGATGACTCGTTTCCCATACTCACCTATGTGCTATTTGTCAGTATCCACTTCACAAGTGATTCGAGAACGAAGTTTACGCAAATTGAACACTCCGATTAGAAACAGAGATCTCGCATTTATCGAAATAGCGAGTTGGCGCAAAGTCCAAAGATTTTTGAGCTGGAAAAATGAAAATATATTTGCGCAAATTGACTCTGGGATAAGCATAAGCCAGATTTCCGATAAAAATTCCAGATCGACAATAGTTGATCAATACTTCTGAAGAATACATATTATTATTTTATTTAGAGTGAACGGGGAATTCAACAAAAAATCTCTAGTCAGTTCATGAGAATACACTTGCGCGGTTCTTCGAACCCACTTACGAGCGTGTCGAAGCTGCGAAGGTTACTGCGACTGAAAGTAAGCATTTGGAGTGTACAGTTACTCCTAGAGTCTGCACCATATTTGCAGTGAAGAAGGATGAGACAAGTGCCTTGTATGACTGATTGTCCTTTACAAACTCTAGAAGAAACGACTACAAATCCCATCACTTGGAATGCCGGAGAGAATAATGTGATATTTAGCAATGAAGTAAGGTTGAATTTAGACCGCCCCGATAGAACCACGCACTCCTCGGACGACTTCAGGAGCAGCAAGCTGGAACTCAGTCTTCCAGCCTTTGCTGATGGCTCTCTAACGGTCTGAGTGTAACTTTTGAGGTGTGGAAGTCTTATCCCGCTTTTGTAGAAGAGAAACGGATGACTAACTTCTACACCACCACACTGAATGGAATTTTGCCCACAATGATTTCGGAAAATCAGCGGAGTACAGTAATATCTCAAGGCGGTTACACGTACGTCCAAACCTACCCCAATCCGGGTGTTATACCTGCACATCAAATGCGCGTTCTGACCCACCCACGGTCCAGACTTGAACACCATCGAAAATGTCTGGAGTCTGAAAACGAGCAGAGTCTGTGAGGATGAAACGGTCTTTAGAACATTGCACCGGTTGAATTCCTCCATAATCGATAAATGTGATAGCACGGGACTGGGAATCACTCGGAATATAATAGAAAGCATGCCTAGATGTCGTTTCTCATTCGATTTCGATAGAAGACTTTGTATTTCATAACCAGCTGCTTCTTTAGTTTTAAGTAGCATTTCCATCTTCTCGGCCACATTCTCAGAGATGAATTGAATTCTTGTGGGTGCTCCTAACGTCCGTGTACATATTTCACTTCGTAATGGGTGGACACATCACGTGCCAAACTTGATCACCCTAAAATGCTTCGGTTCAGACTTAATAAGAGAAAACGGAAAAAATAGAGAAGATTCAGTAGCATTTCTTGCACTACGCCACAGTCAGAAAAGGAAGCACACACCATCGTACATAACCCACTCTCACTCGTCATATTTCAGGTGGTTCAACATCTGAATCCACAACGGAAAGCACCGATGAGTAATCACAATACTCAAATTTTATAATACAAATTTCAAAGTACATTTTTCCACTGAAGCCACTATATCCTTCCACTTCAAGAAAATCACCATCCTCGTTTCCTTGAGCATCCAAATCATTATCATTCCCACCAATCACCACGAACAGACCTCTCAATTACACCCCTGTTTATTCACAGTTCACATTGATCAACAAAAAACAACAATGAGAGTCAACATTCGTTCACTCACATATTCACTTGATCTCTTACGATCAATTGATCACTGATGAAATACATATCCCAATGCATATCTATGCTCACTGTTTTGTGCGGCGTGTGCTGCATGTTTCCGACACGAGCACACAGTTCAGTGTACAAAATTCGTGACAATTGAACATCGAATAATAAAACAGACCGAATACAAACGACTCACTATCGCATCTAATCTATTCTCACCCGTCATATTTCAGGATCATCAACAACTGGGTCTACCACACAAACTACTGGTGAGATATCATAATATGCGTCGTGTGAGATACAGCAAATTCAGATCCAATTGAAATAATCCAAATGCTATCAAATTCTTATCTGATTGTACCATCATCACCACAGTCATATGCATCCAATTAATCAGTTTGCCCAACAGTCCCCTCGAGCAGAATCCGCAATCACACATCTAGTTAATCACAGTTCACAGTGATCAGCATCGATGAGTGTCACTTTGCATTCTTTATTAGTTTCATTCCATGTCGTCCGACTGACTGATCATTGCACAGCTAGTTATCAAAGTCGAAAGATGCTTTCTCTATTTCTAGCAGCCTGTGCGGTATGCTCGTTACACCAATGTGATTTGCTTTATCACACAACAAAATAAGTTATTCAGCACTGAATACTCATGCAAATAAAATGCCCTTAAACCCAGTCTGTATTTCTGTATTTATGATTTTGATGATGCCATTAAGACAAAAATTCTTGGATTGAGAAAATCCGTTTTGTTGATGTGTCAACTCATCTCTATATCCATTATACACAAGGATTTTGTTATTTATCCTAGAAAATGTGCCCGAAGGGTTCAGAAATGCTGATAAACACAATCCTGGAATAGACGCAGGAATTCTAAAGTGGTTTAAAAATCAACGATCTCAGTCGGCGATGACTCGTTTCCCATACTCACCTATGTGCTATTTGTCAGTATCCACTTCACAAGTGATTCGAGAACGAAGTTTACGCAAATTGAACACTCCGATTAGAAACAGAGATCTCGCATTTATCGAAATAGCGAGTTGGCGCAAAGTCCAAAGATTTTTGAGCTGGAAAAATGAAAATATATTTGCGCAAATTGACTCTGGGATAAGCATAAGCCAGATTTCCGATAAAATTTTCAGATCGACAATAGTTGATCAAAACCTCTGAAGAATACATATTATTATGTTATTTAGAGTGAACGGGGAATTCAACAAAAAATCTCTAGTCAGTTCATGAGAATACACTTGCGCGGTTCTTCGAACCCACTTACGAGCGTGTCGAAGCTGCGAAGGTTACTGCGACTGAAAGTAAGCATTTGGAGTGTACAGTTACTCCTAGAGTCTGCACCATATTTGCAGTGAAGAAGGATGAGACAAGTGCCTTGTATGACTGATTGTCCTTTACAAACTCTAGAAGAAACGACTACAAATCACATCACTTGGAATGCCGGAGAGAATAATGTGATATTTAGCAATGAAGTAAGGTTGAATTTAGATCGCCCCGATAGAACCACGCACTCCTCGGACGACTTCAGGAGCAGCAAGCTGGAACTCAGTCTTCCAGCCTTTGCTGATGGCTCTCTAACGGTCTGAGTGTAACTTTTGAGGTGTGGAAGTCTTATCCCGCTTTTGTAGAAGAGAAACGGATGACTAACTTCTACACCACCACACTGAATGGAATTTTGCCCACAATGATTTCGGAAAATCAGCGGAGTACAGTAATATCTCAAGGCGGTTACACGTACGTCCAAACCTACCCCAATCCGGGTGTTATACCTGCACATCAAATGCGCGTTCTGACCCACCCACGGTCCAGACTTGAACACCATCGGAAATGTCTGGAGTCTGAAAACGAGCAGAGTCTGTGAGGATGAAACGGTCTTTAGAACATTGCACCGGTTGAATTCCTCCATAATCGATAAATGTGATAGCACGGGACTGGAAATCACTCGGAATATAATAGAAAGCATGCCTAGATGTCGTTTCTCATTCGATTTCAATAGAAGACTTTGTATTTCATAACCAGCTGCTTCTTTAGTTTTGAGTAGCATTTCCCATCTTCTCGGCCACATTCTCAGAGATGAATTGAATTCTTGTGGGTGCTCCTAACGTCCGTGTACATATTTCACTTCGTAATGGGTGGACGCATCACGTGCCAAACTTGATCACCCTAAAGTGCTTCGGTTCAGACTTAATAAGAGAAAACGGAAAAAATAGAGAAGGTTCAGTAGCATTTCTTGCACTACGCCACAGTCAGAAAAGGAAGCACACACCATCGTACATAACCCACTCTCACTCGTCATATTTCAGATGGTTCAACATCTGAATCCACAACGGAAAGCACCGGTGAGTAATCACAACACTCAAATTTTATAATACAAATTTCAAAGTACATTTTTCCACTGAAGCCACTATATCCTTCCACTTCAAGAAAATTACCATCCTCGTTTCCTTGAGCATCCAAATCATTATCATTCCCACCAATCACCACGAACAGACCTCTCAATTACACCCCTGTTTATTCACAGTTCACATTGATCAACAAAAAACAACAATGAGAGTCAACATTCGTTCACTCACATATTCACTTGATCTCTTACGATCAATTGATCACTGATGAAATACATATCCCAATGCATATCTATGCTCACTGTTTTGTGCGGCGTGTGCTGCATGTTTCCGACACGAGCACACAGTTCAGTGTACAAAATTCGTGACAATTGAACATCGAATAATAAAACAGACCGAATACAAACGACTCACTATCGCATCTAATCTATTCTCACCCGTCATATTTCAGGATCATCAACAACTGGGTCTACCACACAAACTACTGGTGAGATATCATAATATGCGTCGTGTGAGATACAGCAAATTCAGATCTAGTTAATCACAGTTCACACTGATCTGCATCGATTTGTATTGGTAACGTTCACCAACTACATCCAACATTTTTGTTTTTATTTGGACGACGCGTTGAAGAACGCTTTCTTGATCTTTTTTCTGCCTTTCTTTTCCCTTTTCTTTCACGGGGTACTTTTCTCATGCCAAATGCACTTCTTTTTTCGTATTTCTCTCCTTTAGCAACGATTTGAGCCCTCATAGTATTTTTCCCTTTTTTCGTAACTCTCATCTTTCCAAATTTCATATAGCTGAGTCAGCAAGAACTCCCATTTTTGCTTTTTGCGGTTTTTAACTGAATAATACCGCTGAGGTTATTCAGAGTCTTGATCTGTTATCCTAATCTATTTTCACTCCTAATGTTTCAGTTTCCTCAACAGCAGAATCATTTTGCGCTATCTATCAATGGGTTATGCAGTTATGCTTTTTTGCAATACAACTTAAAATACATGTTATTCCTATTTTTGCTACCCAATATTTTCTTTCCAACGATTCTTGATTAGTCAACTGCATAACCCTTGGATCGTTGTTGTTTTCATCCTTCATCTGTGGCTAATTTCGTAATCGGCAAGTAGGTGAATAATAGTTTCCGCTGTCATTCGATTTAGTGACTAGCTGGAATATAGTTATTCCATTTCATGCGTGGTCTTTTTTCGTCTTGTGCTTTGATTGTGCTTCAAAATCTCGAATTGTGAAGCTATCAGACCGGGACATTTCCTCATCGATTACCACAAGGAAATTATAAGTTTCATCATCATCATCATCATCAACAATAACAACAACTCGCTCAAAAGTACCCGTATAATTAATGTAACCTTATGCACACTGTTTCCATAATTCTTGTTGCATGATCCAGGCCATCAATTCCCACAGAAGCCCTCATGTCTTCTGTTCTTTATGGAATTATCCATCTTTTCTCTTTCAGCTTTGTTCTTTTGTGTTTTGTGCATCACAGCTCTTTTCCTATTTATTTGTAGGTGGCGCTGTGCACGTGAGAACCTACTGGGGCATAGTCCTCAACTTACTGGTTCTGAAAATGATCCTATGTTAGATATCCAGAAGAAACCTTTATTTCGAAATAAATTATGCAAGCATTGGCATTCGCTCTCTTGTATCTGGGTCACCGACTTTTTACTGTGTACTGTTCGGGGTCTCTGTAGATAATTTTATATGGTAAACATTTCGCAGCTGTCAGCCAATATCAAGGATATCATTCGCGGTATTCTTCATAAATCCCTGATTCCTCACTTGTGGCTCAAAAACCGAGTAAGCACTTTCTGACGCACACAACTAGTTGGGTCGTGAGTCGATCCAAATTCAGAATTCTCATTTCGAAATTAGATTAGATATATTGGAAAACCGTGGGCGTTTTCGTGGCGATATTCATCACCGAATTATTGGAATGTGCCGCCATAGTCGGAGTAAAAAGACGGTCATCTGTAAACAAAGCAAACAAGGAATACATGATCATGCCTTTTCGACCGATTGAAGCGAACGTCTCAAGGGTTCAGGCAGAAGATTGTAATACACTAGTGAAAATTGTCAATGAGTTTCAGGCATCGTGCATGAAAAACAATGGAGCACACACGAAACTTGTTACATATTGGCGAAAATGAGCTTCGCTTCCGTACATTAGGCATTCTGCAATAGTACATCCTTCTTTCCCACCCTAAAAGTGGTCCAGAAGAATTTTGTTTGTTGTCCCTCAGTAAATATAACTAAGCATTCCCGAGCAGCAGAGCTATTCTTAGCGCAACACAGCTATGTGTACACACAGTCACTTGAAAGACATGTGGAGTCTTAGATAACCATCAGAAAACGCGCACTGTCCAGATCACCGAACCAGTTACATCACCAGCTGTTAGAGTAAAGGTGATATCTCAAGATATATTCCCTGCCGCTTGAAGCAATTATTTTTAAATCTGTGAGCTCATGATAAATACAAGCTAACTTTGTAATCCATGGGACACAGTAAATTTGTGGTTCGCCGAATTTTACGATAAAACTGCTCATTTAAATTGCACGGAAAAACTGGCTTTATTTTCATGATCTGCTAGTTAGTTCAGCGCTTCCGATGATACTTTCTTACATCAAACAAAGGCAAAACTTTGCTTCCAAGCTCAGTCCACCATATCGGAAAGATAATTTCGAACTGTTCTTCAAAAAGGCTCAATATTTTGGGAGACTGAACAAGTTAGGATTGGATTTATACGTGACTAAGTCTTAATTAACTGGTGGACCATCAGCCCGGTAAATAGGTGGCCGATTTACACGAAACGTGCAAGCGGATTTCCCTATATCGAAGGTACAATCTCTCTGTGCCAAGAATACAAGCTGTCAGTCTCAAATAAAAACATTGAATGCATGTTCTGCACGAAAAAGTCAGTGACTTTATATCTAAATATCATGAACCGAATGTAATATAATGTACCCTCCGTTGGGCACATAAGTATTACCACTGTTTGATATTGCAGCGCGTTTAACTTCTGTGTGAGGTTTGACAAGATATTTCTGTTATTTTAACTCACATTAGCTCCAGTGAGATGTTTCTTGTTTCGAATTATCTCGGTATATCTGCTCAGGACACACCGTTTATATAATTCAAAAAATACACTGTTATTAGCCTTTGCGATACAAACTAATTAATTCAACCTTACGTTGGTGAATCTCACTCCTGATTGGGGGATGGATAATGCGGCCTGCCAGCACTTGATGGAAATCCTTTTTCGTCTCATCGATCCACTGTCCTGTCAATCGCGAATCCGTTGGCTCCAGTTTTGACCTGGATGTTGAACAAGTGCTGGCATGCTGTTTGCTAGGGAGACTTGGCCGTTTGTCGAATGATACGTCAAACCATCACCGTAATTAATTCATTACGTATTTTAATAAAATCAAGTCAGTCATAGTGCCAATTTCCACGTATTGTCAGCTATATGTTTCAAATAGATTTAGAAACTTTCTACTAACAATCACAGATGCAAATCATTAAATTTTGATTGAATGTCATAATAAAGACTTGGAGTTGGTCCGTGGTTTCTTCCATTCAGTCGCTTCCGGGTCAACTGTTGCTTCAGTTCTGAAAAGAATCCGAAGCCGAAACAGGAAAATACTGCATGAAAGCTGTTGACTTGTAGCTACAATTGCGAGTAGAAACAAAGTAGAACACCCACAATAAAATCACCTAACTCACTTAATGGACTTGCTCACATAATCTTAAAAGCTCCCCGAGAAAACTGTGCTTTCCAGGTTAATTTGTCTTTGAACTGGACGATAGTTGTTAGAGTTTAGTCATCAAACAGAAATAGTCAAAGATTATTTTGGGACGGTTATTTTTATTTATCGGATCCGATTAAGTATATTGGTGTGTGAAATCAACTTGAATAATCCCCACAAAAGTTACACCGGGATTTTTTCTTGGCTTGCACGACCTGTCTTGTTTTTCTGGATATGCCGTAAGCTCAGGCCTAAGTTTCCGGTAAGATGACAGTTCAAAACTCTTGATCACTTTGCATCCCACTGTAAAAGGCTTTTACATTCAGAATCACTTTGATGAAGGATTTGCGCACCTCTTTGCATAGATAGCTTCCACAACTGATCATACTAACGAATGACTCCATACCATCGATAATGATTATTTTCACTTTCAACTCTGTGTTTGCGCAGCGGAAAAACCTTGCGAACATGATCTACAGGACTCCAGCAATCACGATACTTATAACGACAGCCCTCTACCAAAGTCGCTCGATGGTGATGGGCGTTGAATCAACTACCTCCAACTAAATATTCTGATCTAGTCAAAATGACTATCACCCTGTGACAGTCTGTTGAACAATAACCAAGTAGTAATTTGATCTTTTGTATCAATGTTTTTCTAAGTAATCAGTTTTGTTGCGTTATTATCCTTGTTTCGAGGCAAAAACCCGGAATTTCATTCCATTTTTTTAATGAAGAGTGGCGGTCGGCCCAGATAACTCACAAGCCATTCGCGTGGTACATATTTACTAACCCATATCTCAATATGCGCATTTCATCAGGAAGCCGTTACAGCTTGACATATTTGCCGACCACCTTGAACCGTTGTTAGTCGACGACTCGTAAATTCAAGGCAAGCCATAGAGGTTACAGTTTGTAATGCTTTCACTGGAGGATTACACACTCTGCAATAATGAACTCGTGTAGTAGAAATACAATGACGTGCAGAAATGGAATTTAACGGCAGTTATAAGAGTGTTTCGCGACACTGGAAGTGCGATGCTTGTAAACTCTGACTTTGAACTGCTTTATATTCCAGAATTCTCGAGCCTCATAATAAGACAAACAGACAGAGGGAGAAGCAACGAGGCACTACATTAATAACCTGCTGTGGCTGGTGTTCTTTCAGCGACATGTGGCCATCAAGGTACATGAAGCTGTTACAGTGGAAATGATGACACAATGACACCGTTTTGTAGTAAAACATGACCGAATATTATTGCAACCGAAGAGCTATACCCCGCACACTCTAAGGTCCACGGTACCATGAGTCATAACTGGCAACCAGACCTTGAAACTTGGGATGGAGAACCATATGAGGCTCGATTAGATTAAGTGTGGTAAAAGCCGGACAACCACAAGTGAGAAGGTTACCGCAAACTCGCTCGATACCGCGTCAGCAATATTTCGGAATAAGGAGCCTAACATAAGGTCACTGATATTCCAGGGTATATGCTTCTACTCGCTCGTGAGAAGAACACACAGGAAGAAGGAGAAAATTCCGAAGAGTCCGCGAGATCTAGAAATACAGCCAAATAAAATTAGTGAACTGGATGAATATTTCATTAGTCGAACACAAATGCGAACGATGAGGAGAGAAAGCACACAATAATGTCACATAAAATGAAGGCAATGAAATGAAGCAAGGCAAACACAGCATGCGATTATTCTTTCCTACCAAATTGGGACTAGCTCAAAGTGAGCTGAATATCTATGGTGGAAATGGGCAGTAATGTCATCGCTCACAGATGCTGTATTTATTCAAATGCAAGCATAAATTCGAGGAATGTCTTCCGATAGGAAATAAACAGTTGTCTATGATCAGTTGGATAATCGCTATTTCTTCAGCCAATCTGACAATCGAAAATGCGGTGTCCACTCGCGATAAGGAGAGCTCACTGGACTGCTCTGATCTAGGACCCGAAAAGCCATCCACGCATTCTGCCGAAGTGAAAATTCATTAAACGAGGACGTAATCTACAAGTCTTCCATCAATACATCAGGAGTTGTCAGCTGGTAGCTAATGGTCACAATAACAAGACTCGAACAACAGAGATAGGGTCTTATTTATACAGTGTAAATTGGTATTGAAATTGTTAGTTCAGTGGTGGCCAGTTGCCAGTTGAAATTTTGTCATTTCAGTTACAACGATAAATGAGTATGAAGCTCAGAAGGCCAACGCGAGTGTTTATTCGCTGAGTCTTACCTGAAAGAGATTCAAAAAGCGTCCAAAAATAGATGCTCCGTTCGGTATAGTGGAAGAGAATATATGTAGTGTCAACAACAACGTTGTCGGTGGAAAATCAGTATTAGCCAACTTTTAGGTCACCACGAGTAATATTTCTTCAAGCTTTTTTTACCACCAACCGAAAGCATCGTGTTGATGACGTAACATATACTCTCGTTTAAAAGGTTATTGTTCAACTAAACAAATTAACCCCGAAACGTTCATTTTAGGAACAATAATTTAGCCAACAAGCGATTTCAGGGCTTGATATACGTGTAAATTACCACACTGTATACAACTCAGGAACAGTCGAGAAAGATTAAACAACCCTCGAAATTTACCCAAAAAATGCTCGTGAGGTCCCTCATCCTCACGTGGCCGTGGGTTCAAATTGCTCCCAATTACCGCGTAACCTGGACTTACACTGATTTGACAACCAAGACTACTTGGTCATGGTATGAACATTCGTAACCCCAATCCCCACCTCAGTCTACCCGTTTTTAACCATATTG